TTGAGAGATAGGGATAGCCTGGTAAATGAAAGGCATATATGGTAAGAGAAGATCGCTTGTTTGTGTATATGGATGAGACGAGAAGATGGAAGAAACCGTTTAAATGGTAGTTTTGTTTTAAAAAAATATAATAATAATAAATAAATAAATAAAAGACTGATATCAACTAGTAAGCTAATAGAGTAAATTTAAATACGAATCCAAATTAAGTATAGAGCAAAACAAAGAACTGGCAAACGAGGGACTATAGTACCAGCATACACTGTCCCCCTTATTTTATAAATAGAGTACATACTTTAGGAAAATTAAAGTTCAAACACATGCATAAAATTGGGTCATTTGCATTTCAGATTCTGGAGCTGGTGGGTTGCGATACTAACTTCCATGGTGCAATTCATATTGACAGCTTTCTTCTTCTTCATCACCAGCATTAGCTCCACCTTTCCTGTCAATCTTGATGTGCTGCTCAGCGGCAAAATCCCAGAATTGAAATCGCTTCCTAATTCTGAATTGGTTAGTAAATTGGTTGATGATAAGTTTATAGTAACATTGAACCTCTTGGTTGATAGAAATTTAGCTGTTGCTTTAGGAACAAAAGCATTCCCCACTTCTGCACCCCTGTAGAAGAAGGTAATGGTACTGTTGTCGAATTTGTAGGGACCGAAGTTAGTGTTCTTGACACCAAGTCGAGCATTCATTCTCATGTCAAATGATGAAGCCGAGACACTAAACGTCTCAAATGAGGCAGCACGCACGCGGAACTTGGGAGTTTTGACTTTCATGACAGTGAGTGAAAAGATGACTATAACAATGGTTTGGAACACAACAAAAGCAGCAATATATAGAATAAGTTTCTTGCGTTTCTGGCGTTTGAGTTCTTTGGATTGTGCCTCTTCGTCTACTCGGCCATAATTATTTGGTTCTGGCATGTGATGCCCTGGTTGCTGCTCCCTGTCTGCCATTAATCTTCTTGAGAGAGAAAAATAGAGGATTTTTGCTTGTTTGCTGCTAGGTGTTTGAAGGAAAGTTGATGGTAGAGGAGGGATGGTTAGTAGCTATATATAAGAAGTGATTACATCCGATGTGAGAAGTATGATCTTATAAGGACACCATACATGAAGTTTCGTTTAACAATGACTTTGGTTGAAATTTCTCCGCCATTTAGATGTTTCTCAAACGCGTCTGGCTTTTTTTTCTTATAAATGAGTACCTTCTGTTTTTGGCGCGTATTATTATTGAATAAATTACAATTTCTACGGTATCGTATTAGATGCTTCTATATGAAAATTATAGCTTGACGCGGTTGTAAATTGTGGGAGGCCAAAATAAAGTCGTCTTATGTTGTTTTGGATTTGACAAACATTCATGCTTTTAATTAAGTTATTGAAATTAAAGTGGAAATCAATAATTAATAAAGAAAATCTTTAACAAATATTTCTATGACCTCTGTTTTGTCGGGGTAGTATCATTTTAATAAGGGATAATTAAATAAATGACTAGTTTTTTAACTGTATTATAACTTTAACTGTATACAAATAATATGTAAGTGGGCTTAACTTTCCATTGTTAATGCTTTTAGGTACTGGTAGCATGATTATTATTGTAATTATGTTATGAACAATACGACTACTATTCTGTCCAACTTATGTTTATCCCAGATTCCATTATGGGTCGTCCAAAAGTCGCGTTGGAATGTTTAACCCACTTTTGCATTAAATTGCTGCACAGGGTATTGTTTCCAGTAAATCGTTGACAGACGAGTAATAGAATCTCTCTTAAGCAGAAAGACAACAGAATAGTAATTTACTGTTCATTACATAATATGCTAATATTTATCCTATACAGACCTTTAAGCATTAACAATATTTAGCAGCCATGTTAAAACCATCTTCCTCCTCTTCAGGAGTACAGGACAACCAAGATTCAAAATTGGTAAAAAATACTGAATTAGTAAAATGGACCAATGTTCAAAATAAATTGAACAGATGGACTATTCCTCCAGTAAGTGCTAAGAGCATTTACAAAATCGGAATGCTTAATTTAACTGATCTATGGACTGTAAAAACCATGGAACAAACCATGCAATTAAGCACTAAGGATACAATAATTAAGTTATTGTCTTCCCGTGACCTTCAGAGGCACATACATAAATATAAGTACACACTACAAGAAATTCGGGTTTTAGGGACAGTCCTTTAGGGACAGTCTATAAAACTGTCCTTAAAACCTTCTTTTTTAGGCACAGTCTTAAGAGACTGTCCCTAAAACCGTATTCTTTTGGCACAGTCCTTTAGACTGTCCCTAAAAACTATTTTTTTGGCACAGTCGTTCAAACTGTCCCTAAAAACTTAAAAGGCCCGTCCTCAATTCCACAAAAAATTGCCCGGCAAAACTTGGCGCTTTTAATTCCTTATTTGGCATTTTTGTTTTGCCGCTTAATGCATTTGTTAGAGAAAAATTATAATATATAAAATTATTTTATTTAATAAAATACTAAAAACTATGTTGTTTAATTTAATTACATCATATCCATATACCTATCATCAATTCTCAAGCCCTCACTCCCTCTCTTCCACCTCTTCCACCCTCGCAGAATACTGAAGCTCTTCCACCCTCGCAGACCACCGTCGTAGAATATTGAGGCTCTTCCCCCCTCTTCCAGCAGCATAGGCTGAATGACCCGATCATTCCAACACCGACTCTTACTCTTCAGGTACAACAATATTTTTATTTTTTCAAAATTTTAGGGATTATGCCTCTTTCTTCGATTTTCAGAGAACCCCTAACTTTGATTTGACATTCATATAACCCACTTCGATTTAATGATCCTCACCCTAGTTTTGGTCCATTTTTCTTTTGATTGTTTCAGATCTGGACACATATATATGCTATTTACAATTTGTGTTCATTTTAGGGTTTGGAAAATTATTTGTGTGTTTATTTTTGGTTTTTGATTGTTTTTGGCTTTAGTTAATGGTTTATGGTCTAAGAGGTTGATTATTATTATTATTTTTTCCTGAACTTGTTTTTTATTTTTTTATTTAGATCTTACAAAATGCTGGTGATTGAACGGCATTTCAAAGACTTCGTCCTGTTTTTTCTCTGTTTTTGGTTGATTTTCGGATAATTTTGGCCTCTACTATATTTTTTTGGGCTTGAATTTTTTGTCTGAGGGATTGTTTGTTGTTTATTTGTGTTTGAAGTTTGATTGTACATTTTTCTCTGTTACAGTGTGTGTAGTGTGTGTTTTATTTTGGTTGAAGCTTTTTGTGCTCTGTTCTTCTATCCTTTAGATATTCAAATACTCAGTTGATTTCATAATAGCTTCCTTATTAAATAATTAGCGTACCTCTTAATTAATTCTATACCTCTTTTTTCAATTTTTAAACAATTATTCGCCCAGTATGTATGAAAAAAAAAAAAAAAAAAGGGTCGAATTTGAAACGTGGCATCATGATACTGGAAAGCACAAGACAATTTATACTTTAATTAGGAAAAAAAAAAAAAAGGTTTTAAGTAATGTTTTGCAAATTAAGACATTTAATAGTTAAATGTACTTTTGAAAGTGAAACTACTTTTTGATCTGTAAAAGTTAAGTTTGTGATGCTAATATTTGTGAAATCACTTTGACAGAATTTGAATCTTGGGTTTTATTTCTATTTTGTTTGTTGTATTGTGTTCAATTTAGGAAAAAAGTCATATTTGCATAAGCGATTCTTTGTTGCTTTGAAGAGAATCTCGGGCTTGGAGGAGGCTATCAAAATCAGGAGGTACACTATTGTGATGGAACTTTATAAACCCTTATTTTATATATATATATATATATATATATATATATATATATATATATATATATATATATATATAAGTTCTTTTTGTGTTAGAATTTATTTCAAGGCTTTGTATTCATTTATATTTATTAATTTGTATTCATTTATATTGAGGATGCCAGTATCTTAACCTTTCAATTTTTCCCAATTAATATTAATCCAATTACAGAGTTCTACAATTTATGTCTACCGCCAACTTTATGTGATATTAAAAAATTAGTGATTTAGGGATGAATTCGACAATTAACTAATTTAGGAGATGTACAGGATTTTTATGTCATTTTATGCTTAATGGCATCCTAAGATTCTTCAACTTGTAGCCATAAGTAGCATATCCAGTTTATGTGAGTCCTTTTCAGGTTCCTTGGTGTTCTCAATTGTTTTCAATTAAAAATTTGCAATTTATGGAGTTCAAATTATTTCCCTGGAGAAGTTTTTGATGCTCTATTTGTTTTGCTGGGACATGCACTTATGAAAGGAGAAAGGCGAAGATCTGTAATGTTTGAATATGCATATATTTTGCATTCAAACTCATTTATCACAGGACTACTGGAGAGACGAGTGACAAAATATTTAGTATGGTTGTTTCCTTCATTGTAGTTACTTTGTTAATTGTAATGTTTTTGATATTAATTCTCCAAATCTTATAAATTCTGCTTTTGGACAGGCCACTAGTCAAGACTGTACATGCTTCACACTTTATCATTGCTTTAAAGTCCAAGAGCATCACTAGACTTGATAATGCAGTATCATCTGACAGGGTGTCTCCACTAGAACTAGGCACCTGGGTTTTGCCCCTAACTTCAATTATTCAATTATATGTACCTTATATGAGTTAGCTCAAATTTCAAATATTGCTAAGGAACAAATTATAACAAAAAATTTGAACTTTGGTGTACAGTTCAAGTACCTATAGGGACATGAAATGATGGAGTTTATTGGTAGGGCTACCCTTGTTGTGTAGCTATGCCGTTGGGCCAAAGAAAAAAGAAATGACTCAGAACTTAGGCTCTAGAATTCCATTTGGTATGAGGGATGAAAATGATAGGAACTAAGGAAGCTAGGAAGGAAAAGAGAAATAATTTTTTTTCTCTTTTTATTTGGTTTAGTAAGGAAATAGGTCTTACCTATTTTACCATTATACGCGCGCGCGCGTGCCCGGGGGGGGGGTTCTTTTCATTTTCCTTCTGATCAGATATAGAACCTCCACTCTTCATGGCTTTTTCCTTCTCCCTCTCTTCCCTCTTATCTAAAGAAAATTAGGGCAATACCTCAAAAATCACAGTTAATTTTACAGTAAGCTAAAAATGTATACCAATATCCTTCAACCCATTCTTTACAATTACCAAAATCTAATTAAATCATGTAAACAGACCTGGCAAATCATCCTACATGTAAATTTTTAGTTCTAAAACGGATCTTTTGTTTATCAATAGGAAATGGAAAATGATTTGTTTTTTGATCTGATTTGACGAGGACCTGCAGTTTTTCACAATGGGCCTACACTACAACAAAATGGGCTTTTAACAACACTTTTTCTAAAAGGGTCATGCATAACCCTTGTAGAAAGCACTTTCTACAACAGGCCCGGGTAGTCAGCCAGACCCATCAACACCACCTTGAACCATTAACATCATCCACTTAGCTTACCTTGCTGGTCCGTGTTTAAATGCTATCTCGTGAGGCAAAAGGATGGGATTGGGGCTCAAACTAGATTACCCTTGTTCAGACTCCCTAAGATACGAGGAAGCGAAAAAGGATCACAGCCATCACAGAACCTGTTATTTTCTCCATCAACAATAGATTGAAGCCTTTAAATCTCTGTAAGTTTCAAATCTTGAATTATATCTCTTAATCACTTCACAATTTGTTGATTGTTCTTCTCAATTCTGATACTTTGTAAATAATTGAGTTTTGCAATTTAGGCTTTTGATTTGCTTTTGAAAAATCTCTCATCATTCAGTCCTGTAGAAGAAAATACATATATAAATGTTATGATTATATGAGTTTAATGAAATGTTGTATAAATATTTTTTCTTATAGATTTCGATTTTGTTGAAGTTTTCATTTCGTGCTTGAATGAGTTGATTGGCAATTTGATATGATTTTTTTGCATAAGGTTTCAGTCTACCTACTGATTATTTGATGGAGATTTGATGGAGATCAGTTAGTTGCCAAGAATAAACAAAAATAAAAGATAATAGTCACTGATTCTATATTTCCAATTTGGATTCTTTCATGCATGTTTAGTAGTTTATGGTTGTGACAAAATTGGTTTATAGTGAACTCATTCTCTTCATTGCTTTTGAATTTGTCAAGTTCGGGATTTCAGCTTTTTCATACATTAATTTTGATGGCCTTTCTTCCTTTTTTCCCTTCTCTTTTGGTACTCATTTAACACTTAGTGCTGCATATATCAGTTAAGCTTTGTCCAGTCCGAGTAAACATCAAGTGGGCTATTATATTAGGTTTTTGGAGGTAAAAATTAGTGGTTGTATATATTAATGATGATTTTGAGATAATTCCTAGATATCTTTATAATGGTGTGACTCTTCAATGAATTGTGCATGGGTCGGTTACAAGAGCATTCCCTACTTCTTGTTTGTATATATTGTTCTCCCTTGTTGGGTTTGTACGGGTCTGTAGCCTTGCTATATATAAGTGTTTGATGCTATATAAATCCGTGTATATGATTAATGAATTTTACTCTATTTATTATATTTAATTTGATGCAAAAAAGAATCAAATATAAAACCTTACTTAAAGTCTTAACAATCTATATACATGTATAAGGTTTGCAAAACAAGTCTGTGTTTTGTGTATTTATATTTATGTATATGATGTGAACAATGTTTAGAATGCTTACAATTAGTTTCCCAACTGTTGGGTCCTTAATCTACCCCTCTTGTAACGACCCACAATCGTAGGAACTCTTACATGAGTTCGTACTCTCAATCATTGAATCCAGAGTGGAGTATACAAACTCATGATGAGAGCGTACTATTAATACTTTATATGTGTGTATATAGCAGTGATCAATTCAATTGAAGAATAATATTAATACATAGTAAGGAGTCCTAAAAGAAATGTTTAATGTTGTTTGTCTTGATAAATTTTGAATGAAGAGGATCTTATGTCATACTGTGTTTTTGGTGACTCAGATATCCAAGTGAAGTTGACAAGCATTTGTTGTCTCAGCAGACTGGTTTGTCCAAATATCAGGTACTCATTACCATCTTTTTGCATCAAATTTGATGTGTCATATTCATATTTATGTGTGTGTGTGTGTATATATATATACTGATAATTCTGAACTACTTTGTCTTTTTTTTTTTCTTTTTCTTTTTTTATCTTTTTTCTACTTTTGATTTTGAATTATATATTATTCGACTTGTTCTTTTATTAACTCTAGGGGTTGTTGCTTCTTTGGGTACCTTGTGAATGCATCCCACATTTCCTTGCATGCATATAGCCGTGATATATATATAGTTGGTCATGAATGAATGAGAGAGATTATTTTGTATCTCTGATATGCATAATAATAGTGAAAATTGAAGATATTGATTTGTTCTGTCCTGTTTTTTAGAAGACACTTCTCAAGAATTCTGAAAACCAAATTAGACCATTTTCTGGAAATCGACTATTTTTTTTTAATTAATTCAGTTTTCTGAACACTATATTTTTAGAAGTCAACAAAACGAATATTTGAAATTGTGTACTCTTTTTCTGTTTTCCAGTTATTTGATATGATGAACAGATAAGTGAATGAAACAAGCTCTATAAAAACATGTTTGGTTTAGTCTTAAAACATAATTCTCATAGAATTATAGTGTACTATTATATCTGAAATTTCCTTTTTTATAACTTAATTTTCAGAAATTTCCTTTAGAAAACTTTCAAACCAAAGAATTTGAGCTGTTTAATGTTTTTTTTAGTTATCCTAGAAATTAAAAACTGGAGCAATTAAGCAGATCAAATTTATAAGAACTCTATAATTAGTTTCCAACATTTCCTTATTGTTTCCTACTTTCTTACAAAGCCATTTCCACATCAACTTTGGTCTTAAAACAAATAACATGGCGTTGACATTCTTTAATCCCAGCATTTGAAGCAATATCTTTTTTATGTAACTTGAAAGAAACTCATTTAACAAATCAAATGCATCAAACTTTTGTTGTTTGATATGAACAAGTAAAAAAAATAAAAATATTGTTAGGTGACTGAAAAATTATCCTTATATCCACATGCTTAGGGATCAAATTCTGGAATCACACTAGTTTGTGCCAGTAGGTAGCAGTTTGTGGCGGAGTGATGGTTTGCAGGGTGTGTTTGAGGGAATAGGATTTTGTAGGTGATGGGAGTCCATTGTATGAGGTTAGTGGTATTGAGGTTAGGTAGTGGTAGGCTTGAGATGTTTAAGGACAATAGTTACTCATTTAATATGTTAAAGGAAATAAAAGATGTTAAAACAGAGTTTTGGATTTAACTATTTTAATGGAGATTGAGAAATGTAAGAGAGAGAGAGAGGGGCATGTAGGAGTTTCATGGTTTTTTATTTAGTTTTTAATTTTTGCAAGAAACTCACACACACCATATTCACACAAGGCGCTTGGTAATTTCATGGTGAGTAGAAGGTAAAAGAAGATAAAGTGATGCATATATGCTATTCCATGCAACATGTACATCCCTATATCAGCAACAGCAGCAGCTGCCACCATGGTTCCACCAACAACAGTCTCCATCAGATTCCCAACAGCAGCGAACCACACCAAACTGGCATCAATAGCCTCCACCACCTCCAGCGGACTCTCATTTTCAGCAGCCGCCACTAACAAGGTGGCACCAGCAAGCACCACCCACAACCACCAACAAAATGAATAATGGATCTTAAAGAGGATGGAACAATATTTTGTGCTTCTAGATGGTGTAATTTTTAGTTTAGAAAACTGGAGAGCAATTTTAGTTTTTGTTTAGAAAATTGGAGATTTTATGGATCTTGAATATATGTATTGAGGATTTATTTTATTTTATGGCCAGTAATATCTTTTTGAATGTTATTGTGGATCTATTTTATTTATGTTTTGCATGTATTCAAAATGATTAAACCCACAAATCAAGCATAAAAAAATAATAATAAAAAATAAAAATAAAAATAAAAAAATTATGTACTAGGGACAGTCTACCCGTCCCTAATATAATAATTATAATTAAAAAAATCATGCATTAGGGACAGTCTAACTGTCCCTAATACAATAATTATAATTAAAAATAATGTATTAGGGACGGTCTGTCCGTCCCTAATACTATACGTATTGGGGACAGTCTCCAAAACTGTCCCTAATTCATATGTTATTAGGGACAGTCAATACCGTCCCTAATAAGTTTTAGGGACGGTATTATTTGGGACAGTTAGTACTGTGCCTAAAGGTCAAAAGTATTTGTCACGGTCCAATTTGATCGTCCCTAAAGTTCTTTTGTCACACTACTTTTAGTGACGGACCAATTTGACCTTTAGGGACGGATTTCGAGCTTTTAGGGACAGTTTGGACTGTCCCTAAAACCTGAATTTCTTGTAGTGACATCCATATAGGTTTAATTCAAATTGCTTTTAAACCTTTAACCTTGTTAGGTATGGATGCTTGTATTCAGGCAACCCTTAGGGATGCTCGATGTCTGAAATTCCACCCTTCTTTGATGGGTGCACTGGAAACCAGTCTATGTCATGGACCGGTTTATTTTAATGTCTATCCTAGTCTGAATTTATCTTTAACAGATAAAAACATCCATGAGGCAGTTAGTCTTCGTGTTCAGACCTATGGGTATGATTACTTACCTGGATCGGAAGTGATAAGTGTTATTTATCGCATCCATTACAAAGTACTTGATACTATGTGTCCCAATGCCATACGCAAAGATTCTAAAGGAGTAACAGCTTTATGGGATACCAACATGTACACATCAAATGTTGCCACAAAAAGGATGATTCCTTGGAGTGAGATAACATTTCCTGAACACTGGACGATTTCTAATGCCATTCCAGCACAGCCAATTGCTAATCATAGCCTAGACTGTGTTATTCAGAACCAAGATGGTGATGTTTTTCTAAATTTCAGAAAATCCATAGATCTACCTAGATCTACATCATCTAAAGGAAGTCATCTTCCTTATCATGTTTCTTGTCCTCCTTCTCGCCATTCGATCTCGTCGGATTACCGAAAGGAAGATCTCCCTGAAGTGGTTGGTGCCAATCGACTTAAGCTGAAAGGAATACAGCAATCTCAGAATCAAATTCCAAGAGTAGTCTACGAGAAAACACCAATAGGTATGTCTCGTCGCCAATTTGGACTTGAATTCAGCCCAACTCCATCTGAAATGGGAATTGGAAATGAATCTGTCAAGGATCAATTTGATGATCCTACAGACATCAATGACCCTCATGAATATTAGTTTTAATGGATTTTGTCCCCGATAGAATTGCCATTAATACTGAATTTCAACAGGATCAATATAAAGAATTCAGAAATTGGTATTTTAAAGTTTTTGACCAAAATCAATTACAGATTTTTAAAACCCAATTTTATGAATTTTTACAAGAACACAAAATGGTTATACCTTTTGTTTCTTGGTTCTTCATGACCAATCATTCTCTTGTTAATATAAACATATTGGATGATTTTCTCAAACCATAGACCACATCTGAAGATAAGGTTTTTCACTCTGTCCATCCTCCCACTAAACATCTAATTCTGAAAAGGATTGACCCTGACAGTGGTTCCAAAGTGGAAACCAAGGCTTATAGCCAACCTAGAATAATTGATCCATCCTGTAATGATACTAAAAAGGACATTTCTCATGTTTACAGGCAGAACAATTATACTAATGTTTGCTTACAAACGGTAGGGTCCCAGCTTGGGAGAATTGAAACAGGCATCGACACGGTATTAAATACAATTAATACTAAGTGTATTACTGTTCAAACTTCTCCTCCAGAAGCTTCCTTATCCAAAGCATTGGTGAAACCTGCAATTGAAGTTCAAGGCTTCAATCTTACACATCCTAAGAAGAATGAAGAATTTCTTACTCTTCTTACTCAGAAAATTCAAGGACTTAAACTTCAGACTTTATCCCATGATGAATCTGAAATTGGTTCTGATTCTGAAAATGTGTTACCTCATCTTGAGGTATTCCAAAATGATTTTACTCAGAGGCCTGAGTTAAACCGAATCGTCTATGATAAGAATATCCACTCTAATACAGCCCCTGCTCTGAGTAGATATTAGTATCCCAGACCCACACCTCAAGATATCTTGTATGAAGAAGATTATTTCCATACACAGAAATCTTTTCATGGCAAGACCATTTATGAATGGAACATAGATGGCAAATCTGATTATCAGATTTACGAGGTTATTCATCAAATATTGATGTATAGCCAAGTTTGTAAAATCAACAACAAGACTGACCCAACCATTGCTAAGTTTGTCGTTGCTGGTTTTACAGGAATCCTTAAAGGATGGTGGGATAATGTCCTCACTGACGTTCAGAAAGCTGAAATCTTTTCTGCTACCAAGCTTGTTAAAGATGAAGCTACTCAACAATCAGGACCTACTCCAGATGCGGTTTATACCCTCATCACCACCATAATCCAACATTTTGTTGGCCCTGAAGGTGCTAATAGTGAACGCAGTCGTGAACTTCTACAGAATCTAAGATGTCCATCTTTAACTCATTTCAGGTGGTATAAAGATGTATTCTTGGCAAAGGTTCTCCAACTCAATGATGCAAATCATGAGCACTGGAAAGCCAAATTTGTAGATGGTTTACCAACCTTCTTTGCTGAAAGAATCAGGAAAAAGCTTAGAGATATGAATAATGGTATCTCTATCCCTTACAGAAACTATACCTATGGTGGATTAGTCAACATTGTAATCCAGGAAGGTCTAGCTCTCTGTAATGATCTGAAGTTACAATCCCAGTTAAAATCACAAAGATTAACTGGTAGAAAGGAAGTAGGTGAATTTTATGATCAATTTGCCTACCAGACTCCCTTATCTTATCCTAAACCTAGGAAAAGAAATAAGGTTGAAAAACCTTATAAAAGGAAGTATTCCAAAAGAAAGAATTATTCAAGGGAAAAGGATAATTCTAGACAGTATACTAAGCCTAAAAGGAAATATATTCCTAAAGCAAAGGGTAAAGGAAAGCCTAAAGCTGAGGCTAAATGTTTCAAATGTGGACGTATTGGCCACTATGCAAACAAGTGCAGAACTAAGGAGAAACTCAGTAGTCTTCACATAGAAGAAGAACTGAGACTTCAATTAAGTAAATTGTTACTTAATACTAGTTCTTCTGAATCAGAATCATCAAGTGATTATGGGGATGTTGTTATGGAATTACAGTCTTTTTCTTCCTCTGAAGCAGAAATTGGAAATCCCAAATGTTCCTGTAATCCCTCTCATGATGATTATTATAAGGCAATTGTTGAGATGAATGGGTTAAGCTTAAATGTTTTGACTTCGACTCAACAATCCTTATTGGATCTTATAGATCATATCCAGGATCCTCAAATCAAGATGAAAGTCTTTGAAATAGGTTCTGCTCTGGCACGATCTAATGAGGATACGGATAATCCAGATTTTCTGAGAGCAGAAAATCATTATAGCTTGAAAGAAGTTCTAAGCAGATTAGAACACCAAGGACAAAATTCTCGTCCTACTAATCTCCCTGATCTCAGAATGGAGATTAATCTTTTAAAAGAAGAAATTCGTCAATTAAAGTCTCGTCAGACTAAGATGGATTTGGAAATTACTCTTTTAAAAGCACAATCTGCAATTACACCTTCATCATCCCAAGATGAAGTCCCTTAATCAGAAGGTACTAATTATCTTCAACTCTTGAATCAAGTTACTTACCAAAAATGGTATATATCTATCAATTTGGTAATTAATCAGGAGTACACAATCACTAATGCAATTGCCTTAGTTGATAGTGGTGCAGACATGAACTGCATACAGGAAGGATTGGTTCCTACTCAATATTTTGAGAAAACCACTCAAGGTCTTACCAGTGCAAGTGGAGGTAAGATGCAGATTAAGTATAAACTTAATCATGTTTTCATTTGTAAAGAAGGTATTTGTCTACCATCTACTTTCTTACTCATCAGAAATATGGCACAACAAGTTATTTTGGGTACTCCCTTTTTAGCTTTAATCATGCCAATTGAGAAAATTGATTCTCATGGAATATGCTCTAATTTACATGGCCAGTCAATTACTTTCCAGTTCTTGACCCCACCAGTAAATAAGCATATCAATGCTCTTAAAGATAACATTATCTTTAAGGAAAAGCAACTGAATTATTTGCAAAAGGAGGTATCCTCCTTAGCAATTAATCAAAGATTGGTACAACCCACTGAGCAACAGAAAATTGAGTCACTACGACAAAACTTTCTAAAGGAAATCTGTAGTGAGATTCCTAATGCTTTTTGGGCCAGAAAGAAGCATATTGTTTCTTTACCCTATGAAAAGGGATTTACCGATCGCATGATTCCTTCTAAAGCTAGTCCCAGCCACATGAAAGCTGACTACTTGGAATTATGTAAAACTGAAATCAGCTCTTTAATGGCAAAAAAGCTTGTCACTACTAGCTACTCCCCCTGGAGTTGCAGAGCTTTTTATGTCAATAAAAATGCTGAAAAAGAACGAGGAATTCCTCGATTGGTTATTGATTATCGGCCACTCAATCTTGCTTTGAGTTGGATCCGATACCCAATTCCCAACATCAAAGATCTTTTAGATAGGTTACAATCTGCTGTAATCTTTTCTAAATTTGATCTTAAATCTGGATATTACCAGGTACAGATTGCAGAAGAGGACAGGTACAAAACAGCTTTTTGCGTACCTTTTGGACAGTATGAATGGACAGTGATGCCATTTGGATTAAAAAATGCTCCTTCAGAATTTCAACATATTTTGAATGACATATTTAATCCTTTTACTGAATTTTCTATAGTTTATATTGATGATATTCTCATATTTTCCAAATCAATCGATCAGCATTATAAACACTTGAAAATTTTCAAACATGCTATTTACCGAAGTGGTTTAGTAGTTTCTGCTCCTAAACTAAAACTGTTTTTAATTAAGGTCAGATTTCTTGGTC